GAGCCTGTGATGATGTCAAATGGACTATGCTCTTCTTATAGAGGTCAGTCAAATATTCTGTAAGTGTATGTCCTTTATTTACAGTTGTATTCCTTGCTTTAACATTGACTGGCTCTACCTCCTGGCCCACACCCAACAACGCCCCTTCCTTAAGTGTCTGCTCACATTTGGAGAAATTAGCCACTGTTATAGGTACTACTTGATGACCTGGCTCATGTGACCTTCCAATCTTCACGTCTGCTGGCCTTAATGGGTCTTCCACTGCTTCCACAAGCATTGGGCTTCCTTGGGGATGCTCTTTTATCCTACCCTAAATTATCTTCTCTGACATAGGGGGTATTGTAGTTGATTTAAGTGCTGTGACATGCAGATCAACGGATGTAGCAACACTTACTGGAGTCTAGCCTTTGTTGTTTCCAATCGTCATCTTATCAAAATCAATTACAAACTTCCTTGGTAGTAGATAGTCCAATCCCAATATGCATTTGTCTTCAATGTCAGCCAAGTATTTCCAGTGGTTGTCCTTTCAAGCTCGTTGCCAAATATACTGCTTTCTGCTCCTCTGTCCATCCATTAATTACTGCCAGTAGCTCAAATTTTGCTCTATACGCTTCCCACGGTGCTTTCCCATCGTATTCCTGTGGATTCCTTCTTACTGAATCACTCCTATTACTGACATTCATATCTGGGATGTGACTTCTAGTGGGACTGAATATGTCTGCATTAGGGTTTAACTACAGGGTCTGTAATGGGCTTGCCATTGTCTGGGGCTGGTTAAGTCAATGGTTAATGTATCCTCCTTGTGTAAAAGACAATAAATCGTCCTTTAACGTACTTCATTCGCTTTTAAATTTACTAATGTTTTCCATTTGTACTTCTTGCCATTGTTGTTGATTTTACTGTAGTTGCTGCTGACTTTCCTGCAACTGTTAAATACTTTCTTCCTGTTTCCTTTCTTGTTCTAGTTGCCACTGCTGTAGTCTCTCTTCTTGTTTATTTTCTTTCTCCTCCAACAACTGCTGTAATTTCTCTTTTTGTTTATTTTCTTTCTCTTCCAACAACTGCTGTAGTCTCTCTTCTTTATTTTGCTGTTCGAGCTGCCATTGTTGTAGGTTTTCTTGCCACTGCTGTAATCTTTCTTCTTGTTTCTTTTCTCGTTCTTCTTGTTTCTTTTGTTTTTCCTCTAACAACTGCTGTAATCTCTCTTGTTTATTTTGCTTTTCGAGCTGCCATTGTTGTAGGTTTTCTTGCCACTGCTGTAATCTTTCTTCTTGTTTCTTTTCTCGTTCTTCTTGTTTCTTTTCTTTTTCCTCCAACAACTGTTGTAATTTCACTTCTCGTTCTTCTTGTTTCTTTTGCTGTTCTTGTATTGCTGCCATCAAGTCTGCTAAACTGTAGTTTGATTTGCCGCTTCTTGTTTCCATTATTATTTTTTGCCCCACTCTCTGACACCAATTTAGTTAGTTAATTTTCCGTAAATTCGTTCCGACGAAACTGTAGCGACACAAGTCCTTTCTTAAATAAAACTGGTTTATTCTTTCTGAATATAACTTTGCGATATACTTAATTTCAACAGTCGCGCTATAACAAACGTCTCACGTGCTCGACTTCAACAATACTCAGTTCAATTACATACTCTCTGACTGCAGTTCAATTACTCATTATTCCGTCACGTTGTGACCGTCTCATATATACCAGCTACCCCCAATCTAGTAGTCTCCCGACAATTCACGACGGAACAAGATATTTCTAGAAGGAGGTGGCGTGAAATTAGTCACGTGACCTCGCTGACGCAACAGTAATATCCAAGTACGGTGAATACTATACGAAGTGTAATTGAGATGAATTTTTCTTTCACTGAAAACCGGTACTTGGCTGATGAAAAGTGAAGTGAAATGTCTGAAGTTTCGTCACAGGAAGTGAGACATAAACTAAATCATTAAAAATCGACTAACAGGATATTTGTAGTTTATGGACTTCTTTGTAAAATTTCTTAACATAAGTATGCCATTTTAAAACGGACAGCTCTTTGTTTTCATACACATTGACGAAAACTTACACTTAACTGAAAAACTCGTGTTTGAAACTGTAAACAGTCCTCACAAGGTAAGATCATTTAAAAATATTTTATTTTTAAATACAAGCTTCACCTTATCGACTTATGGGACTTGTCTGCTATCCTTTTTAACTGTAAAAAAACGCCAACCGCAGTTATAATAACAGCATCAATGACTACAACGAATGTAACTAAAACTTTTCTTCCTAAAATAAATTTGTTTTCCCTTAACTAAGACACAACGACACAGCGTCCTAAGAATGGTAACTACACAAAGTCTTACCTTACTGGTAAGGTTAAAAAACTATCGATGACCACGTTACGAAACGGTCATGGTGTCATAAGAACAATTACATGGTAACATCTTACCTTGATTGTAAATATAAAGACCCTTCCATCAGAAACCATGTTAAGAAAAAGTGCCATTGCTTCGTCTTCGTGAGGTGAGTAAGTATCAAATACACGTTGTGCCATCACACTACCCTAAATAAAAAATATATAACCATGTTTCATCAACTGGGATATCCAACGTGCAATAATGTGAATGTACGAGACTCGCCATTGATGAAGGAGGGGGGGGGGATCTAATTAGTTTATATTTGTTTATATACCTGATTAAAAACAATAATTGTTAGAAGAGAGGGTTTATGGGCCCATTCCTGAATACTTAATAATCAGACTGTTTAATAAAATCTCTTAAATTTCAAAACTTATTTTGATGGTTTTAGGTGGCACTCAATATTTTTTACCCATAGACATTAGCGTCAACTTCTTTTGTTGATATTTGGTGTATTGAGTGACTGGTTCTGCAAGTCATGTTAATTGATTCTTTATTATCTTTTACCTGAGTTTTGTGCATTCTTTGCACAGCGTCAGGGTGTTCAACAGCAGTCGCAACAAGAAATTTTGAGAATGCTCAAACACTCACGTAGCTGGCACATATGTCAATATATTTCATCAGTCTTGAAGTAATTCTTTAATCACCACATTTTTTGTAAAAACTACGCAGAAAAACGAAATGTTATCGTGAACAAAAGTACGTGTGCGCCCTGAAAGTGATTTAAATTGCACTCTCGAGCCTTTTCACTGTATTTTCGGTCAAGAAGTAGAAAATACAGTACAGATATTCCGACACAAATTTTCATCTCTTTCGACTGTACAAAGGACAAAAGATATGTGGTACTAATAAACGTTTATTTTTTCTTTATGTTTTAATGCCAAGTAGGTAATATATGTGTTAAAACACCAAAAGAATATTTATTAACATTTATTCACCACTAAAGAAAAACTTTTTTTTAAACACTGACTCTATAACGTTAGTAATATTAAATAAAGAATAAAAAACTTTCTAACATGAATATTGAGCATTCAACATAAACAACACAGCTGGCCTAAGAACAATCATGTAATAATTTTGTTGCTAAGCGACGATGTTTATTGTTGAGCATTACCAAAAAAAAAAAAAAGAGCGTAAAAACGTTCTCGACAGAGTGACAAAGGGAATAAGCTTTTCATAGTTAGTGATATTCTAAGTTTATTTCGAAAGATTTACTCAAGAACAAGCAGAACTTACAGTTGCTTGGTTAAGCACCAGGACATGGATACCCCTTCCTTTACTCTCCTCTGGGTCCTCTAAAATCTAAATAAAAATATAAACGTGTTCTATATTAGGAACAAAATATTCATTTCTCATTGGAGTGTAATAAACCATAAGTCTCTCTAATACAGCAACTTATGACTTCTGTAACGGCAAAAAACTGTATCTGTTTTCTACACACAGAGACGGTACGTTTTGATTATTTGTAAAATACTTTTAACTGTAACTCTAGAAGCTGTATTTGTTGTTGTTTAATTAACAAAAGTGGTAATTTTTGGACTAACTGATAATTCATACGAAAACTGTACCTTTAGGAACCTAAAGCATACTTCATCTATAACACTGAAAAACTGTAGTTACTTATTCTTTGTGTTAAAAACTAAGTTTGTTTGTTTGTAGTTAAGCACAAAGCTACACAATGGGCTATCTGTGCTCTGCCCACCACGGGTATCGAAACCCAGATTCTAGCGTTGTAAGTCCACAGACATACCGCTGTACCACTGGGGGGCGAGGGGGCATGGGCTAAAAACTAAGTACCACAGATGTTTTTTTCCACATTACTTTTAATTTGTTCATTTCGAATTCAAAATCAGATACGTGTAAATAATGGAATTTTAGAAATGTTTAGTCTGCAACAAGTCGCTGAATAAGAGGCCTTTTGTTCAATACCAAAATTTGTCAGATGGACTGGACGACGAGAAACAAAAGTTTCTCAGAACATTATACACACATATATATATGTGTGTGTATAATATTTTTATTTTGGTGTTTAAACTAACTTTTGAAGGTAATCATTGTTGCCCTATACAAGGATACTATAACTTGAGTTACTGGAACTTTTTCTATAACAAAAGAACTGAACCTACTGTTGTCCCATCAACAGAAACGGTGACTTTTGATTGACTGGAACATACTTCAATTATGACACTCTTTGGAAGACTTTCTTGAAGATGGAAGTTATTGCGTCTTCCTTCTATGCTGTGTGTGCCTTCGTTATAATCTGCCGGGTGAAAATTAGAAATGCATTAAAACTCCCAGTAGCAGGTTCATAATATGAAACATACACTGTATCTACGTATTTCTCTACTATTTAACATGATCGATTGTGTGATAGTTTTTGGAAAACTCCAGCAATTTTATTTTTGATTTGATACATAGAGGTCGTACCTGTATCAGATGTCTTCTGTAGTTTCTGGCTTGTGTCAAGAATAAAGAAAATGTTGATCCCAACTGTAATGGTCAGTACCATCAGTAACAAAAACTGAAAGGAAAATTATACACATAAATTCTACTTTTGTATTGTTGTGATCATTCTGCATAATTTTGTTTATTATTGTACACTGTCGACTTTGCAAATAACATACCAATTTAAGCCAAAAACTTGAACGCATAACTAGTTATCTGGAAGAGTCACCATCTCCTCAGGATATTTTGCTTTCATTTTATTTTTTGAAATCTGCTCTTCCAACCTTACTACTGTATAAATAAATAGCACACAATAAGACTATGAGAATAAGCCTAACAAAAATGACTAAACTGAAAATCATACTGGAGGTTGATTCTTCTAACATTCTGTTAATTAATTCTTATGGATTTTGTAACAGACATGTAAAACATTTCTCTTTGTCCTGCTCGGATGACATTTCGTTCAATGCCAGAATTCATCACTTGGGCTAGACCTATTGTAACTAAAGATAAATCTTAAATGACTAATGTGGCGAAGCAATGAGGATTTTTGTGTTTGTTTGTTTTGAAGGTAAGCATAAAGCTACACAATGGACTATCTGTGCTCTGCCCACCATGGGTATCGAAACCCGGTTTCTAGCGTTTTAAGTCCTCCAGACTTACTGCTGTGCCACGAAGGGCAGGATTTTTGTGTTTGTTTGTTTTGAAGGTAAGCATAAAGCTACACAATGGGCTATCTGTGCTCTGCCCACCACGGGTATCGAAACCCGGTTTCTAGCGTTTTAAGTCCTCCAGACAAACTGCTGTGCCACTGGGGGCAGGATTTTTTGTGTCTACAAATGATTACAATCATGTTTTACAGTAGTAGCTGTGATGGGTTGTCTGAGTATGATGGTGGGTAAAACAAAATACGCGGCCTAGCTAACTAATGAATGAATATTTGCTGTAAAATTCTAATCAATGCTGTAAGCGTAGTTACCAGTCTAACCACCAATTTTGATTTCATTCCTCTAAGTCGCATGCTGAATCCTTTTTTTTTTACTGCACCCTTTTTCACACCTAAGGTATTTTCAATTAGATATCATAACTTTTTGTCAAGACACAACAACAAACCACAGCAAATAAGAAAGTAACACTCGATAGTAATCAACATTTGCTTTAGGATTGCAATGCTATTATTCGGAACAGACCTATTCTTTACAGAACCAACCAGACTCTATAAAATATACGGTGTTAGCTTTCCTCTCTAAAACAGTATTAATAACTGTTATAGTAGTGCCATGGAATCTAGATTAATAGATTCTTGTAATTACCCGCATGCACTCGGTACAGCCATATCAAGCATCTTTATGTATGGTAATTGTTTAAGTTAATATCATGTGACGCAAAATTCTCTTTAATGAGGGGAATTTCATAAAATTTAGCAAATTTGTGCTTAAAAGTTTGGAATGAATAAAACCGTTCTCCCGTATGATTCTTTTGAAAACTTGAGCTAAAAACTGATTATCTAGTTTACTTGGCCTAACCAATACTTATGTATCTGCATGTCCTTTCATCCTATAGTTTTGCTGCTCTTAATCAGCAGTATTCAATCCGAATGATTTTTGTAGCTTATATTTACACCAAATTTGACAACTAATTGAAGGCTGTAAAGTTCTATCAGTGTATTAATTTTTTAAAACATCCATAAAAGTTAAATGTGTTTCTATCAAATAAAGTTTGCGTACTTTCGGTGAGAAGAAAAAAAGGAAAAAAAATTCAATCAAAAATTGGGGATTTTATATCTCGTGTATTTCTTAATGGATTGTATTGAAATTTGGTATGTGAAATAAGGTTCCAGTAGAGCACATCCACTGAAGATGTGTTAGTTTGGTTCACCACAGTTAGAACTACAGAAGGTAGAAAATAGCTAAACTACTAGTCTTGTTAATAACAGTGTGTCCTGCAGGTTGTTTTGGCTGCACAACACACTACTGTGTGTCTTGATACTACTAGCGAGTTTTCAGTATGTAATTGAGCTGTTTTTATTTTTGTGTGAAAGATTCTTTGTTGGAGTATAACTAAGTATAAAATAACGACATAATATATAAATATATATATATCTATTTACATTATTTTCAGATTGATTGTAAAGCACAGTAATAACCCGTTTAGCACTCAGGGTGGGTTCCTGAGAACAAAGCTCTAAACGAATAATCTCTAAACAGGGTCATTTGAGCATTACATATATGAAGATCTATAACTGAAGGCATTGTTTCTCACCTGTGAATGATGTATACATGCTTTATTTAGGCACAGATAAATTTAAGAAGAATTACTCGCTATAATATCGTCATCGCTTAGAAAAAAGCAATTTTTTTATTAGCCTTCAATCTTGTTTGGTTACACAGCCATCAAATAGAAAATCAGTCCCCTCCTGCCACGCTCACCTATTACATCCTCTCTTTCAGGATTTGTCAATACATGTAGTTCTCTCTTACATTTACAACTGTATCAGTTATACCCAATATCCAGGCAAGGTTTTCATCTATCAAATGGCAAATTATATATCGTTGTTTTCTGTACAGAGATTTGTGGCACGCTTCCTAAGAAAATGTTTTTTCCCCGCCATTGGAAAGATTTATTCTGTAGATGGATAACATTTTAGCCGTTCATAATGCGTTGCTAGAAACACCAGAAAAATTGTGATAATTATGGGACATTGTCCGTTTTTGCATCTTATTATTCTATGTTCTTTGTTGCATTATTTTATTAAATAAAAAGTAGTTAGTGCACTACTACCATTAGTATGAAAAAGTAGTGTTTAGAGAGTTATGGATTTTTTATATATTTTTGTTTCTTTCGTGGAGACAAGGAGACAAGAGCTCCATAACGAATCAGCTTAAAGCGGGGTGTATTTTAGTTGGGCCTTAGCCTATATTTCGAAAACACAGTAGATTAATCCGAATTAAACTGCCCCTCACTGTCAACCAGTTTGCGTTCATGACGTATGAATACACAAAAGAAAATTCCCTTAATTATTATATCTGGGTGTGTTAATAACAATTTTAATTCCACAAACGAAACAAAAAGCTGTTTTAAACATCACTTTATTTTTAGGATAAAGCAGATAACTACAAGTTAACATTTTTTCCTAAACTGAAAATGTATTTCCAATAATACTTATCTCTGCTGACACTTTAGCAATTCCTCGACATTGGATTTGCCTATCTAAGCAGTGATCTCACATACTCCAGTCTTTTATACCCCACTTAAATGCCTTTGGCATTAACTAATTTGCAAATCTCTCCACCTCAATGCGCCCTCTATTCTGGTACTGTATATAAGCATTTCACTCAAACAATGTAATCTATCTTTGAGACTTACACCATCCCAGTAACTAACATCAGCTCTTAGTGGAGAGGAAAGGCAGAAGAGTGTCAATGGAGGTAAGTATTATTGGAAATACATTTTCAGTTTAGTTAAATGTTAACTTCCAAAACATATTTACCTTCGCTGACACTTTAGCTAGAATCCCAAATTGAGAAAGTGGATGGGCCGGTGCACAGAACAGGGGTGTACCAAGATAAGAGTGGTACCCAAGTGGGGGAACTGCACTACATCCAGAACAGGTATGCTCTTCACCTTTTTCTTTTTAGAACTTCATTCCTGTATCAGGGGTGGAATAGTGCATGAGTAATCATTATATGTCAGCCCCAATCAGATAGTCGAAGTTCCACAAATCAGGGTTGGAATTAAGGGATATTAGTCCCTATATCCCATGTTGGTGGCTAGAGCAATTGCAATGCGATGTTATATATATGGATTGGATTAGAGGTGATGTGGGCTTGATATGAAGAATAGGTTGGATGAGCAAAGTTTGATAAGTTTACTAGACAGATTAACGAATAGACTAAAAGAAACTAATACTACTACTATTAATATTAAACGGCTGATCTCGGACATATTGTCCTTCAGGGCCGCGGGGATCTATAAATTCAGTGCCAAGCATTTGATGTGGGGAGAAACAGGAGTACCTGACCTCGAACCCTAGTAAATTTCTGACAAACATCTGAATAATCGGAGACTCCACAAAGCACTAATCAACCCTCAGCACCAGCCTTTACTTTATCCCAACTTATTTCTTCTCCCTAACTGGGTACTGGTAACGAATTGGCTCCTTACCAGTGAAGGTGGGTTTTCTCGAGTAACAACCCACAGTACAATCTTACCAACTACAATAGACCAAGAAACTCAGACTACACCTACATCGGAAACAGTACTACAAGACAAGTCCATTCAAACAACTGTAACAAGAAGGAAAAAAGGGACCCAGACCCAGCAACCTGTCCGAACTCACACCCTTCCCACTCCTCAGCCCAGTTCCACATTCTGCCCCCCCCCACATTAAACTCATCAGTACTCTGGTTATTGACATCTCTGCTGACCACGACATACCCAGTGATCCCTTCCTCACTTTCCACCCATTTACCAGCATCACCGAAGACTCCACACCATCAAAACCCGGGGTGCTGGTAGGCAGCGGGTGTTGTTCAGAGGTTGTGAAGCATGGGCTTGGGAGGGGGTATATTTGTTAGGGCGAGGCTTCCAATATGGTTTTTCTGCTTTAAAATGGTGGAATTCAAGAGAGTAGCCGTAGGTGAGGATGAAGTATGCTATCGGTTGAGAAGTCGTGACAACTTTTTACAAATTGTGAGGGTAGTCTGGTTTTTCTAGACGTGATACGGTAAACTGCGTTGAGTTAGTGGAAATATTGAGGGCTTGATGAATTATCTGTGGAGAAAGACTGGGGGACGTTTCTGAGAAAAACAGCATGGAGACTAGCGTTACTTTTGGAGGTTGGCAGGTGACGGGTGGATTTGACAGCCATGATCTGCAAAAGTAGTATAGGTCTTCAGGTGACTTGTGTTGGAGATTGATGGATGCATTCGGGTATTATTGGGCTTGAGGCTTATATCTGCGGATAAAATTGGCAGTGTCCGTGGAGAAAAGTTTAGAGGTAATTTGTCGTCGAATAAGGATCAGGTGGCTTTCTAGTATGAAGCATGACGTTAAGTGTCTGCTGGCAGCTAGCCGAATCATGAATGAATGAATAAGTGATTACGTTATATGGGTGAGATGCTTATATACAGTGCTAGGATAGAGGGCGCATTGATGTTGGTGGAGAGATTGCAAATTAGATATTGCTAAGGGCATTTAAGTGGGGGTACAAAAGACTGGAGCATGCTTAGATAGGCAAAGCCAACGTCTAGAAATAGCTACAATGTCAGCGGAGGAAAGAATATATATTGGAATTATTACGTTATGTACTCTCTTTTATCTTGTATACTTATTTTACTTGAACATTCGATCTGGAGTTGATGAAAAATTGATAATGTAAACCATCAGCATACAAAACATAAATAACTCAGCTGATTAAAAGCTTACCATAACATGTTCTTATTTTTAACTTTCAATTTATACAAAAATTTACAATATAAACAGTGCAAAACCTCCAATGAATTACTTTTTAAATTAACCAATCTTTTACTTTATATTACACGTATACCTGACACAATCGGGGTAGAGCACGTTGCCTTGTAAACTTGCGCAGACTGTTGACTTGAACCGTCGCAGCAGACAGCCGCCGTTTAGGGATAAAAAGTTGATCATTAGCGTTGGAATTCGGTATCTTCATGGCTGCATTTATAAGTCGTGTGATTTACTTAATAATCCTTTCAAAGAAGGTCGTGGAAGTGAATAAAAGTTTTTCTTCTCATTTTTATCTTTTGGCCTTAGTAGTTTGTATAAATGACCTGAAATTCAATGACTGTGTATGGGGTTTCTGGTAGCCTGTTTATTTTACTTAAGAAATCCTGGTAACATAGGTAGTTTTTGTGGTAATCTCTAGTAATGTGGATAGTTTGTGAATAGAAACTAGAGTATGATGAGTCATCGTGTTTACAGTCGGGAGATCTTATTTTCTTCTCCCGTGTGTAGCTGCAAGCAAGAAGAAAAATTAGTATGATTAATGTTGTATTTCTAACAGTTTGTAATTATTTTTTTTAAATACTCGCTACAAACAATAACAGAAGATTTGTCACAAGGTACATATAATTTTGTTAATAATAATAAAAATCTTATTCTTTTTTTTGTCATTAACTTTTATAATAATAGTTTCAGTACAACTAAACAAACATGTAAATCAAACTGAAATGTTTAAATTGTTGGATAAAAATATGAATAGCCAAGTGCACAAAGGCCAACGGAAAAGCAATGTAATTTAAATACTAATACTAGTGATAGAAGTTGAAGAAAGAACCAAGACATTTACATTTGACGGTAGCTAAATACGGAAATAAAATTAAATCAGTGTTTCTTCGATTTAAAATCACCGTGTAGAAACATAAATCATTATATCATATATTCCTAGAAAACGTCTCTCATAAGAAATGATAAATAGAAAGTCGTTAAAACCATGCCCTTATAATTATGGAAAAGTTCTACTCTGATGTATATTAATTAAAGACAAAGTATTTTACAAAAACAACCAAATTTCCAATGGTAAGAATTCACAATTTTCTGATAGTTACACGTCATATGTAAACTACTCCTTTTACAAACTCACTAGTTCAGTTTTAAACAGTAAGCAATTCCTTTTCACTTATGCAGTATCATTTTTAAACGTTATATTATGTGTTAATTTTACAAATCAACAACTGTAAAACTGTTAAAAGTTTATTTTACTACCAAAGTTCTTTCCAGAATTTACACACACACATATATATAAATATATTATTATATCTTTAAAAACACTAGATTATTTTCTGGTTTAAAAAAAAATCAGCCTGAATCAACATAGTTTTACAAAGAGTTGAACGTTTAAAAATAAAACTTAACACCACGACCAGAGATATCATATATAATGTAATAAGTAAACCACATACAAATAAAGAAACAAGACCGTCTCCCGGTGAGACAGCGGTAAGTCTTGGGATTTACAATGCTAAAATCAGGAGTTCGATTCCCCACGGTGGACACAGCAGATAGCCCGATGTGGCTTTGCTCTAAGAAAACACACACAGAAACAAGACATAGGTGGGCAGAAAAAGAAAGTAAATAAAAGGACATAAATTTGGTTTATTTGTTTGCTTTTCACTTAAAGCTACTCGATGATTATCTACGCTAGCTGTCCCTAATTTATCAGTGATAGACTAGAGGGAAGACAGCTAGTCAACACCGCCAACTCTTGGGCTACTCGTTTACCACGAATTATAATATCCCCACGGCTGTAAAGGGGGAACATGTTCGTTGACGGGGATTCGAACCCGCGACCTATAGATTACAAGTCGAGTGCCCTAATCACCAGGCCTAGGCACGTAAATAAATGAACAATTATACTGAAATACAGATATATATATAAAGCGTATTTTAAAACCAAAACACATGAAGCTGTATGGTTTTTCTATAATATAAACCCGGGGCGACGTTCTTACTAACCAAACTATTGTTCTGATTGGTCTGCATATATATGATTTGGTGTCTTAGTCGATTAGGTTTTTAATTCTTCAAAAAATACATATTTTGTTGCATGAGCTAAAAGCTAAGCCTTACTCGGCATACTTTGTTAGACTTGGTCACATGACAGTTTGTGGATGTGTCCATTGTGATGTCATGTTTCTCCTAAACAAGCAAGTCTGCTGCGGGAAACAAAAGCACAACGTTTTTCTGATGGCCAATATCAGAAAAGGAGAGCAGCAAAAGATGCAGGTTTGGAATATCAAAATAGTACTCTTCTGAAGTTTTTGCAACGTGAGACATCAAAATAAAGTGAAAATATTATCAGTAGACGAGAGAGAAAACAACGTCTGCTAAAACTAGAGAACAAAATGAGTGCTGTAGCTAACTGCTATGTTTTTGTTTTGTTTTTTCGAAATAGAAGAACCCACATTTTGTCACGATAAAAGCAATTATAAAGAGGGAAACAAGACAGAAAACGACTTAAACGAAAATACACAGGTATGTTATTTAGGTTATTCAAAAGTACAACAGTTACTGGATACTCATAAAACAGTCATATCGAGGAAGAAGTATATTACAGATGATTTTTGAGACCTAAGGCAGTGGTTTCCAAAGTGCCAAAGAAAGAACAATACACCTAAAAATAAAAATATCTGAATATTATTGTTTAAAAATAATGTTTGTTTGTTTGTTTTGGAATTTCGCGCAAAGCTACACGAGGGCTATCTGCGCTAGCCGTCCCTAATTTAGCAGTGTAAGACTAGAAGAAAGGCAAGCTAGTCATCACCACCCACCGCCAACTCTTGGGCTACTCTTTTACCAACGAAAATATCTTATAATAAACAAAAACACAAAATATAAGGATACAACTAGACCGTGTTACACTACGGTAATTATCCTCCTACTAGTAAACCATGACTCCTGTCTGCACCTGTTATGGACGCATTACGAAAAAACTACGTTTCTAACTTAAAATTGTGAATAAAACTGCACCATATATTTAGGATAATATCTTAGACCATTGACTTACTGGCATAATGGCACTTGTTATACAGACAAGGCTGGACAACCCGAAATGGCTAGTTTGTCGAATGTATAATTTAGCTCTATCTGTTCCTCTCACCGGCTTCGTATTGTTTGTGTCTCTACTGTCTTTATACAACACTAGAAGCTGTATGGGAAAAACCACTTCATATCGGTGATTAGGCCTACAAAACTAAAAACCTTTCTTTACTCAATTTTACTTTCATCGTGTTTTAAAACCAAAATGGTGTTACTCTCGGTACCAAATCAGCTCCTCCATATTTGAAGAATACCCGAAACACGTAACTAATAAAGGTTCGAGCTATTTCGGTACGTTTCTAACGTTGCACGTTTCTCCCAGTGGAGTATTGGGAATCGTCTATTATAATAAAAGAGGTAGGCAAGGTTGTTGATATTTTAGACAAACATGAGTCAGTTGCTTCAGTTTTTAGAGGGCGCTCGATCTTTAGTTTCATGTTATTTAACTATTTACTAATATTTCATTTAACCTTAATATAATGAAAGATAATCAAACCAATAAAAAATATCTGATAAATATATATATATATATATATATATATATACATAAATTTTTGAGACTAATAACGTGGGTGGTAATAGTAACAAAATATACATATATATATACAGTCTTACAAAACTTTTGACTGATATACTTCTACGGTCATGTTAATAAAGTGAAATGTAACTATTTACTTTGTTACTACCTGACGATCAATTTACAAAACTGGTATTTTTAAACAAAAATATTATCTTTACAAGTATACCTAATAATATGAATAGTAGCAGAATAATATCAGTTAGATAATACGAGTACAAATTGTACACACAATTCATAAAATAAAACTTTTCTTTGTTTCCCTTTAAAATCCTCAAACACGTTAAAATTACGTGAGTAGTTTCAATATTAACTAGTTTAATGATGAATTATTTAATTGTTAAAAACATTTCTATGTTAAACTATAACTAGGCATATAAGAAACAACAATACTGGCGCTCGTTAGAAACAACACAAAAGCCCGTAAGCGGGAGTACAGGCCTTAATTTGTTTGTTTCAGTGTAAAGCTACAAAATGAGCTATCTGCGCTCTGTACATCGTATGTAATTGAACCCCCAATTTTTATGTTGTAAGTCCTTAAACATATTGCTGACCCACCGAGGAGGGAGACACTATTCTTAATAATAAACACAAATAATTTTTATCTGCTTATTATATTATTCGTTTATTTTTTTTCAATTTATTTTATGTAGATAATGCCACTCGATCTATCAGCATTAATGTTAACTTTAAGATATCCTAATAAATGCTTGCTGCAAAATTTGAAAGAAAAACAACAACAAAGAAACAGACACACATGTATAGAAAATATACCACTTTCTATTTAAAAAAAAATAGCCCCCCCAGTGGCACAGCGGTATGTCTGCAGACTTACAACGCTAGAAACCGGGTTTCGATACCGTGGTGAGCAGAGCACAGATAACCCTTGTGTAGCTTTTGCATAATTAAAAACAAACAAACAAACAATTCTACAAAAATATTTTAAAAAGTTAATGACTGGAAATGACCAACGTTAATGAGTTACGAAGCATGTGAAGTATATTTCTGATGAAAATACCCTCCGGTATTCTCAATCAAGAATTGATCGTTTTCGATACAATTTTTGTCGTGACAAAAAACAACAACAACAAAAAACACGTAAGGAACAATTCCATTACGGAAGTAAGAAGCATAATGTGACTCATTAAGGTCACATTTTAATTTGTATCTCTGACGTATTTTATAAACTTTTCTCAAGTAGGTCCACATGTTACCCACGATGTACATACAGTATTCTAAACACATACCTTCCGTACCTGAAATACAGGTGATATAGTTATAACCTATACAGGACACACAATAAAGCAGTGATCTAACAATGTGCGACTTAAGTGTGATCCAGCCTTACATCTTTGCTAGTTTCACATTAAGATCAATGTGCTTGAGGGTTTGTTTTACTCAGGATGTCACCGAAAGAAAGTAAAAAAATTAACGTAATCGAGATTTGAATGATCGTTTTCTCTTAGAATTACGTTTCATTTTGTTCACACAGAATCAAAGTGTAAAATATCCCTTGTGCCCATTGGGTGTACATATGATTTAGAGATCCATCACAGCTTGAGCCTTATGTTCGGGATGAAGAACTAATCCTGCTGAGATATCTTGGTGAATTTAATGTTCAGATGGAACTTATTCATCAAATAAAAAATATACTGAACATTTCTTCATCTGAGTCCAGATACAAAAATTAAACACACAGTAGGTTTTACAAAGATTTTCGTAAAGTACGTTTGGTTCTAGCGAGAGTGTTAAAATTATGGTAAGAACACATGCAAGACGACATCTTACGGGAACTCGCACTTATTGGCGACAAACGTAATTTTCAAATAGGAAAAAACTCTCAGATAATACAAAGTCCAATAAACGTTCTACGCTTCCTAAACTTAAATCGAAATATTCATGTATTCTCAACTACCCCATAACTTCCTTTACTTCAGTGCATTTACAGAGCTGTGCATCACGTGGACATCAAATAGATTCAAATGACTTTTAGGGGGGGGGATTTTCATGTAAACAGTAGAAGAAGTGTGAAAAGAGGGGTTCATGCAAACACTTGAAGAAGTGTGACTTATTTTTAGATAAGATGTCACATAAAACATCAGCTGTATAAGCTTTTTTTTTTCCAAAATCCAAGAAATGGCTTCTCAAGGGACACCACAGTAGTGTTCCCCCTTGCGAGTTTTAACATTTCTCACAGTACATCTAGACTGATGACTGTTCAAAGCTGTTCTTAATGTTTTCTCGACTTTATTAGTGGGAAAGTGTAGCCAGGTTTTCTTAGTTTGGGTTTCACACTATTTTGTAAGATATTAGTTCATTTGGTGCATGGATCTGAAGCATGAACTACAGCCTCTGTATTTCTGTAATTTTTATTGAAGGGTTTATAACTATTATTGCCATTTTTAACTTTATTCTTTTAATATATTATGGAAATTCTTATTATTAATTCCTGAGTAGAACATATGTACTATATCTTTTACGTTTACCAAGTTTTCATATGATTTCTTCATCAGATGATCATTGAAATTTCATTCTATCTATGAAGGGTTACTTTGATTTATCTATGCAATTATTAACTACCTTCTACTCATGAACTTAGGCGTGAGTTATGCTGTTTTTGCGAAGAGTATTAACTTTAATGGTGCATGAAGCATTATTAAACTTAACATTCGTATTTTTAGAAATTATTTTAACTGACTCCATTTGATGTCGCTAAAAAGCTTTCGACTATTTTTTCCAACTTAATCATGAACGAGTGTTGAAGAAACAGGTGGTCAAATCGGAATTTTCAATCATTCTTTATTAGGTAGATTTTCGCTGATTTCAGACTGACCATCCTTCACGAAGTTACTGGTCGCACAACAGAAGTGACACTTGTCGGTTCAGCATTCAAGTTAGGCAGTGAAGTCTCTCTAACAGGCGCACAATGCAGTTATTGACATTGTTCGAAACGTTTATAAATGTGTCATTTAGACGTTCAAATACACGGATGTTAAATATTCAATACGTAATTCAAGATGAAGGTGGCATGCACATTCACTAGGCCCAAATCTCCGAAAGTCCATTTGAGTCCTGTTATTACTTCAAACAAGAAGGAATCCTCAACAGCCGCGGCATTTGAAATTCTTTTATGTAGGATTAGAATAAATTAATCTATAAGACCTTTTTTGCTTTTTATTAGCTATATTTTTGTGCGCCAGCAATACCAAGCGTGGGCCGCGCGTATACCCGATTCAATTTTATTACTCACCAGGATCTCTACCAGCCTATCCTCAAATTGAAATTATTTTAGGCAGGATTAGAATAAATTAATCTATGAGACCTTAGATGTGGTCGAGTATATTAATCGATAGAATTTGACCGTCCTGAGTCCTAAACTTGTAATTAGATCTCAAATCGGTCAAAAAATGAAGGAGCTATCAGCTAAAAGTTTGTACTTGGGGAAAAAAAGTAAGAGTCGTTCTATGAGTCGGTAAGTCGCTGCTAAAAAATGTAGAATCGAATAATTGAGATTAATCATGAATTACATTATGGGGATCGTCCGTTTGTTCTTCTTTATTAATAGTTAACATTGTTCCGCCAGCCTACAGCAAAATGGCTATGAGTATTGTAATAAAACCTGAGCAATATTACTAACGCATCGTTACGCATTCTGTAGGGTAGTTTTGAAGTTTATTTGACTACCCAGCAAATAACAGTGGCTGTATAACCGTTCACATCCAATCCTTTTAATGTAGTCTGTGCTTTATATGGAGAGTCATAATCTAATATACATGCATACATATACAGCTGGCTCGACTCGCAATCTGCGGGTCGCGGGTTCGAATCCCCGTCACACCAAACACGCTCGCCCTTTCAGCCGTGGGGGCGTTATAATGTGACGGTCAATCCCACTATTCGTTGGTAAAAGAGTAGCCCAAGAGTTGGCGGTGGGTGGTGATGACTAGCTTGCCTTTCTTCTAGTTTTACACTGCTAAATTAGGGACGGCTAGCGCAGATAGCCCTCGTGTAGCTATGCTCGAAATCCAAAAACAAAACAAAACAAACAAAGCTGCGGGCAGGCCGTGGATGTAATTTAATGTTTACATGGCAGGCATGACACATGTATCATACGGTTATTAATTTATTGTTCCAACTGTACTGATGTCGCACATCATTTGTTTATGTATAGGGTTCTTGCCCTTTCGGACACGACGCTGCTGACAGGATCAAAGTTTTGCATGATTGATTTTTGCCATGTTACACAAACGTCTACGTTGTCTCTCACAACAGAAATCTCTAATCGGAAGTTTAAGGGATATTTCAGATACTTTTACAATCTAATATGAATGGGTTTTCATCCCTATGTATGTTGCTTGGAATAGTAGGTGATGTGTACAGCACTGAATTTTGGTATGCCACACTTTTAACGTTTCTTCTGACTTTCAATGCCCTTCAACCACGTCCAGTCTGTTTATTTCTCACGTAAGTAAAACTCAGTCAATGTTTGAGATTCAAATTATTCTCAAATTTCCTGTTGTTATTAGGTAGACTTATCTAATGCTTCTGTAGAAATCATTTCACCTGAAAATACCACTCGATAAAATCATCATCATATGTTAGCACTAGCGTATGTGACATCTTAGTGGCATCCAGTCCTTGTGTTATGCAAAATTTGGAGAAATTGTTGATTCGAGTGCACCACTAGCTGCAACACTCACACAAAGAAACACATTAAGATGGTTGATAAAAGTGTTACAACATGTCATCATGCACCTTTTCCTCCTCGTACAAATGACATGGACTGTGTGCGATAGCATTATGTTCATTGACTCATGCTGGTTGCACTTCACCTTGGTGTACATCAAGGAATATCCAAAGTAGTTTTAGGTCCTTCAGTTGCTCTTCACGGAGCTCCTGATGTGTGAGTTTTGATAACCAATCATTAATAGTATCTCCTACAACATGACTCACCAACATTACAACTTAAATGGCTTTCACTCTAACATGGTGTCCAGAATCAAGATATTCAATGAATAGACAGGCTCTCATCATGATGCAAGATAATCTCTTTGTGTTTCTATGTTACATGCCCAGATAGTGCTGTACAAACATATCATAATCCAGTCAATGCTGTGATTCAATGTGGTGTCATTGTTTTCGAGTTCATAATGTGCAAGAGCACATCAACAATGCAAGTCCACCCTAAGATTGAACTTTCTTTCAAACACGAAATGTTGGTTGTATTTTACGAGATTTCAAGTGCAAGCAGTTCTTTTATCATCGTGCATTATTGGTGCTCAGGAGCTGTGAGTATATGACTCATGAATTATATCACATCTCACACTCCAACCTGCAACTATCATAAAACTGCCTTGATTTCACTGTCATTGGCATCTATATCCAAAAGGAATTCACAGTCATGTCATGCATACACAAGCACTAAAGCGTTCTTTAGGGAAATGAATGTGGTCTCACAGTTACACAGGCCTGCGATGGTTTTATTGTCTTGAGATGTTTACATGTTCTACAGTAATACCTGTACACTGATTCCGAAAATAATATCCATTTTTCTCCATCAAGTACAGATTTTTCACAAAACGTCATAACGCAATACATAAAAGAAAGACCACAACACATGATTTGAGACTAAAAGACGTAAATTTCACAAACAAAAATAAGAATAAATGAGGATGCATATTCATTTGACATCAATGTTCTTCCATTTTTCTTTAATTTGTTTGTATTTTTGTTAACAATCATAATAATAACAAAACTTTATTGTGGTAAACGAAATAATTATTTGATCTAAGTAAGAGTTTTTTCTGGTATATATAAGATGGTCACAACGTGACGAGATGATGAGTAATTGAACTGCCGTCAGAGAATGAGTAATTGAATGTATGCGGACAAAATATTGTTGGCCACGTGAGACGTGAATTATAGTATTTGTTATAGAGCGACTGTTGAAATTAAGTGTATCGTAAAGTTGTATTCGGGAAGAATAAACCAGTTTTATTTAAGAAAGGACTTGTGGCGCTAAAATTTCGTCGGAACGAATTTACGGAAAATTAACTAACGAACGGAGACGTAACAGTATGCATTGGTTTTAGTGACATCAGACACTGGGACTGTAATCTTGGAAAACTGGCCACAGAACATCGGTAATAAGGTACAAAACCAATGTAACTTCATGAATCGAGGCTCATCTCGAACTGATGTGATCTCCACAAAGTCAGTTGAGATGCTATTTCTCTCCACTTTGTAACAAAAAAATCTACTTGCGTGAGCATGAGCACATATTTTCCCACTTTGATTTTAATCTTGCCTTTCTTATACACTGCTGCCATAGTTAGGTTGATGGCAGCAGGCTCATACATACGTCAAAATATCAAAACATCATCCATATAAACCAGACATCTCTCCCTTTGCAAAATGTAAAATGCTCCATTAACATATCAAAAGTTGCTGGAGCATTATACAGGCCAAATGGCATGAATTAGAACTCATACAAACATTCATGTGTGCTGAAAGCATTTTCTGCTCTGCTCTTGTCATCAGCTTGACTTATGAATATACAGAAGTCAGGTTTAAAATGCTGGATCATTTGACACCTTGCATCATGTCCAGACTTTTGTCTGTCCATGGTAATAAAAAGTCATCATTGCACATCGCAGCGTTTACCTGGTAGAAATCAATAGAATTTGCTCATGTAGTCATTCTTTTTGACAATAAATACTAGAAACAACCATACACTCTCTAAAGGCTGCATGATTTCATGTTTAACAACTGCTGTATCTTGGCACTGGCTATATCTATGGTGCTCTAGCGAAGTTTGCAAAGCAGGTGTTTAGTCAGATGTGCTTCACCTTTATCTATACGGTAGTATGTAATCGTTTTACTTGGTTGACCACCTGGTTTCACAAATAAATCAGCAAGCGTAACCAATAGGTCATTGAGAACTTGTAACCGTGTTGAGTCTAGATTACTTGCACAATTTTCAACTAGTGACCTCAGGCACTGAAACCAAGTATTTCCTTTCAGATGCGGTGCTATGGAAGCAACACTAGTGTTATTGCTGGTATTGGTCAACTCCACTTTGCTTACTGGGAGGATAGTTTAGTAGTTTTAGTTGTTTTGGACACTTTTAAGACTCTGAAAAAGGGGTATATTTGATGCATAAGAGCAGAAAGACAGGGGTTTGAACCCACCCAGCCATTCCCTTTGTGCACATCACTGGTGATGCTCCTAGATCTAATTTATACGACTAGTTCTTCACGGAAGATATTTGCTTAAAGTAATCAGATCTTTCACGCACGGGATAAAAGTTCCTCATAATAAATATTACCCGTTGCAGTCAACTGGCTGCACAGTGAAAGCATTTTGAAACATTCCCATCTGTTGTTGTTTCAGTGTAAAACTAAACTATGGACTAGCTGCACTCTGTCCACCGCGTTTAATCGAACCCAGGATTTTTCCGTTATAAGTCCGCAAACTTAAATTTATAGAATTGTTTAGAACGCAGATAACCCGTTTTGTAGCATTGCACTAAAGCAATCTTCTTTACATAAATATACGAACAAAATATTTTCAGTAGTGTTTTTATGTTAAAATTTCAAAACTCTTGATTATTTGCGTGATGTTTATCTTCTGTATATTATATTTAAGAGCTCGGCTAGACGCTATATTGTCTTGTTTTTGTTTTTACTTTCTTTTAAATTCTCATTTAAAAGTAGAGTATTTGTAGCTTATAAAACGAGACGACTTCCAGGCTCCATGCTGACTGTCATGGCTGGAACAGTTATATATTTCACCCTTTCATACTAATACAGAATATACCTTTAGACTAATATATTTTTCTAAATTTCCATGCAGTTTTTATATGACATTTTTGTTGACCGGATGCCTCAACGTTGTTAACATTTGCTAATCCATTTGTTTGATATTTCATCTAGAAACCAAGAAAAAAAGGCAGGAGAAATCCATAGAAAACTCGTTCCACATGAAAGAAGCTTATAGATTTCGCTTCACTTGTTTAGTTCTGTAACTTGTCAACAGGTAACGCCAAATACAAGAGCTCAACAATTTAGAGGATGAGCTAGGTTCCTCGTACGGATACTATTACAAATACGAGTATTAGAACTTGTGGAGTGCAAAATTGGCATATTGTTTCTTAAAACGTCTGCTGTTTAATATGGCGAATAGTTCTGATTTGAGCACAGGAAAGAGCGTGCTTGTTTTGGCAGTTGTTATAGGATGTTTTGGTGTTCTGTGGCCTAAAATATTTTATCCAATGATGCAAGCTGCATTTTCAATAACGGCACCCAATTATGATCGTGATGAAGGTAGGTTAATGGACCACCTTCTTTAGAAGTTGCACTTTGAAGAAGATTAGTTACGTACTGAGTAGCTATAACTCGTTAGGTTAAAGTAGGAAGAGTTTATGAGGGCTTACGAAAATTTGAATCAAATGCAAGAATAATCAGTAAATTGCCTTGATATTTTGAATATTTAATACTAATAACATTATACAATTTAATAAATAATTAATAGGTTATTCTTCCATTTGTTGTTTATATTTGAATATTCTAATATAGTATTAGTACACTACAGTGAAGCTAACAATTTGCAGTGGTTATTTTAATTTTAATAATAACAGCTTGTGTTTTATGTATGTGTACAAGAGTAGTTTATTATATTGATTGACTTATTTTCGTATGTATAGATATTATTAGTTTTAATTTTTTATAAAATACATTACTCATTATCTATATATGTTAGAACGTTATTACTTTCAGTTTTCATATAAATTTATTTTTCCTGTTTTCATAAGTTTAAGTATTAAATGAAAGAAAAGCTGTAATGCACATACCTTAACCATGTTAAGTAACATTATTTGAAGATAAATATGTCTTGTTTTAAATATAATTTTAAAGGGGCACTTCTAAAACAGGTACATCATTAATGTAATGTGAGGAAGTTTTGGAAATTGGCAATAATAGTATAGATGGGACTGTATCAAGGATCTTGGAAATATTAAATATTTAACACTCTTTACATTAGCAATAAGCTTATTTTTGAATATCAGTAAATTCAAGACCAAGCTTAATTGCTAATGTAAGGAGTATTAAAAACAAAATGGATGAGTTTAGGACTCCAGTTGAAATGAAAACTATGATATAAATAATAAAGGGAATTACTGAAACATGGTTACATTAGGATAACATTGGTAATAGAAACTTTTGAAATTCCAAGTTATAAATTATTTAATAGTGGTAGGATTTTTAAGGACATAGTGTGGTTCTTTATATAAGAGTTTGAATCTATATGGGTTACAACCAGGAAATTGAAGGAGAGAAACTTTTTAACTGTAATTTGTTATAGGTCACCAAATCAGACAATGATCAATGAGAAATTGTATAAGGAGATCAAGGTTGTTATTAATAAGAATATTGATGCAGTAATTAATGGTGACTAATTTTAAATGGTAAGGAAAGGAGACTTCTTAAAGTGGTTCAAGATGGTTTTCTGTACCAAATGGTCAGGGATCTTACGGGAGGGATACCATTTAGAATTTAATGTCAACCAAATGTAATGAGTTTTCAAATGAGACCCAAAACTTGAGTTCTTTCAAATAGTTCACCATTTTCTCAATTTTGAGGCCATGAGACAAGACTGTTCTTCTCAAGAAGGACCACATTCTTCATATGTTATGTATCATTAAACTCTTGCTTAGTTCTGTAAGGATAACCTTGAAGGACCACATTTTCCATATGTTATGTATTATTAGACTCTTGCTTAGTTCTGTAAGGATAACCTTGAAGGATCACATTTTCCATATGTTGTGTATTATTAGACTCTTGCTTAGTTCTGTAAGAATAACCTTGAAGGACCACATTTTCCATATGTTATGTATTATTAAAGTCTTGCTTAGTTCTGTCAGGATAATCTTGAAGGACCACATTTTCCATATGTCATGTATTATTAGACTCTTTCTTAGTTCTGTAAGGATAACCTTGAAGGACCACATTTTCCATATGTTATGTATTATTAAATTCTTGCTTATTTCTGTAAGGATAACCTTGAAGGACCACATTTTCCATATGTTATGTATTATTAAACTCTTGCTTGGTTTTTAAACAGAGAGTTTTGGTGAGAACAGGCATACAAATATTGACCCTGAGTTGCTTCCTCCACAAGTCAGAGCAGCAATGGAAGAAGGTCGTCCAGGAACTCGACCACAGATTCGAGATGGCAGGGTAAATATCTCCTAAAATAAAAGTTATTTTGAAAGATGTACTTTTGATGTCTAAAACAAGCCCTACAATAGTTACATGACAATTGTTCTGTCCACTAGCTCTATGACAGTGACGTGACTGTCAATCTCTCTTCTAGCTCTGTGATAGTAATATGAATGTCGTTCCATCTACTATATTTACGATAGTGAAACCACTGTCATTCTATCCACTAATCCTATGATCGAGACATGACCCTCGTTCTATCAAGAGGCCCTGTTATAGAAACATAACTCTCGTTCTAGCCATAAGATAGTGGCATGACTCTATATACCACCCCAATAATATTGATATGACTCTTGTTTTATCCACTAGCCGCATGAGAGTGTCATGACTGTCGTTCTATATGGGAGCATTACTTTAATAATATCAGTTTATTAGAGTGAATTTTTAAATGTTTTTATTAAAGACATGTTTTTGAAAAAACATGAGATTATTAAGCATAGAAAATATAATGAAGTTTGCACCTGAATGAGTTGATATCAAAATGTAAGTTTATTGGCTTAGCTTCTAGATAAAAAATAGGAGTATTAAATACATTTGTAATATGTACTATATTTCAAATATTTCATACTGGTATATGCTTTATTTAGTATTAGTAATTCTAACTATTTAAATCAGTTTTATAACCGTTGTTGAAACCAACAGTGTAAAAATAACACATAAGTTGTGCATAAAACATTATTTTGATCAGTAACTAAAATTGTTATTCTACTCCAAGAAAATGTATGTGGATTTGTTTATAAAACAATGGGTTTATGTGAATGTTTTTCTTGAACTTTCTTACAAAGTTTACGGGTTTTTTATTTGGTACTAACTTGTTAATATGTATTTCTTAGCCTAAACGTTTTAAAACATAAAATATTTGCTGTTAAGAATCCTGTTTCACTCTAGCCTTTAATGCATCCTGCTGCAAGTCAAGGACCCAAAGTTCAACCAAAAAGTGGAGGAGCTATGGGTGTCATAATGCCTATTTATACCTTGTTCATTGTTGTGTTCTTCATGTACTCTATATTCAAGGTAGGACATCAAAATATCTACTTTTTTATATATTGGTAGTTATTTTTTGCTTTTATATGTTGTGTATTAAGTTGCCTATTATAATCCTTATTTAAACATAATTGTTTATTGTGTTTATTTTTATACTCGGTGTTTAAGGTAGGACATCATAATACCTATTAACATGCTGTTAATAGTTGAATACCTAGTTCCTTATTTATATATATTCAAGGTATGACATCATGATAATAATACCTAATTATCTATCTTAAAATTGATGTTTTTCATACAAAGTTTTTAAAGATTTTATATCGTAAAGCATATTCACACATTTTTTATGATTATGTTCTTATAACTCGTATTTAAAGCGTAGATTATAGAAAAGGTATTGTTAATTAGGGAAATTCTTTAAAATGATGCAGTTGGTAGAACATATCTTTAACCTTTTTATGTGAACATCTTTGTAAATGGAATGTTGTAAATTTTTCAGAATGTAATATGTTTAATCAGGTTAATATTAATAAATGATTAAATCAGGCACATTAAACATTTAGAGCTAACTTTTCAGTTACTTTTCAGTGGAATAATAAGCTGTCATTAGTGAAGTCTGGAAGTGAGTTTTCTTTAGTAATATGTTAGTATGTATTTGCAATATTTAAAAAATATTCTTAAAGACGTTACTTTAGAAAACATAGAATTTGTTTCTATTTCACATAAACATAACTGTTGAAATAACTTTTTTCAACTTACATTTATTATTTATAGTCGTTTTACTCACAAACTCTCAAGGACTGTATTTTTAAAATATTTATTTTTTTTGTTTATAATAATAATAATAACTTTCTATTTTTGAAAGACTATACATTAAGAATTATATCAAGTCATAGGGGTATTGGTTTAAAATATAATTATTTTATTATCTGATTTAAAGGAAATGTTCATTAATTTTTGTTATTATTTAGTTTGTCTTTAAGAAACCTTCTGAAGATGAAGCATCAAGGCAGCCAATGGTAAAAGACTTTCATATGGATCCTGAACATCACAAGTATGTTCTATCTGAAGAATACAAGGAGGAAAGGAAGAATGGAACGAGACTTAAAAATAGGGAAAATAAAACCAAGAAAACTCTACAGAAGTATGGGAAAGTAAAAGGTGTTAGCACAGTTTTTTATATTTATTTTAAAGAATCAATTGCAAAGCTTTCAATATTTTGTACCAATATGTAATTTAAAAGGGTGATAAACAATGAGTAATCATAAATAAATAATTAATTTATCATTAATGTAATACATCATTACAGAAAATACAAAAAATGAATCATGTTGTCCTCAGATTTCTGAGGGTGAATCTCCACCTGCCTCCCACTCTTCTTCTTCCTGTGATTTTATCCCTCAGATTGTCTGCTAGCTTTCCCTCACAATTCAGCTAAATTGTTAGGTTGCCAGATTGATCATCATAGTTTCCATATAAGTTTACTAGCTGGAGTACCCATCCACTGGATGGGTGAAATAAAAACTTGTTTGTAAGAAAGGATAGGAAATTGTGCTTCTATTTTTTTCTTAACATGATCAACATTAAAAGTGCAATAAAAATACGTAAAGGTACCAATACTGAATAGAAAGACGTACTGTTTTCAAGAATTCTATCAATATGAAATTAGGAGGGTCCAATCCCCCCCCTCATGACCTTCCTCTTGTCATTCTGTATGACTGTTTGAAGTTTGGTGCTGATTGATCAAGAAATATTAAAATGTATAAGGAACAGATACATAAACACACATAGTGATGTTTATTTATATAGATTTAGCCTTGATAATATTTATATCAGGACTTGGTCAGGCCAAGACATAGTCACAAGTCTTCCTCCAGCTTTTTGTTTTTTTTTCAGGTATTGTTGCACCACTTTTGCTGCATGCTTGGTATCACTGTCTTTTCCAAGTATTGTTGCACCACCTTTGCTACATGCTTGGTATCACTGTCTTTTCCAAGTATTGTTGCACCACCTTTGCTACATGCTTAGTATCATTGTTTTTTCCAGGTATTGTTGCACCACCTTTGCTACATGCTTGGTATCACTGTTTTTTCCAGGTATTGTTGCATCACCTTTGCTGCATGCTTGGTATCACTGTTTTTTTTTTTTTCAGGTATTGTTACACCACCTTTGCTGCATGCTTGGTATCACTGTCTTGCTGGAAGATCAATCCCTTCCCAATAGGGGTTTTCCTGAGGGAAGGACATGTTGAATAAGAATTTGGTTGTACCTTTCAGCAAGCAGTCAGTGTGCCATCAATTTTAATTGACAAAACCTTGTTAAAACATTGTGCATTTTGTTACTGTGTTAAACTTGTAATAAAGTTTTCTTTGTTACCCATTAAACCATCTCCAAGTTCTTTAGTCTCAAAGTGGGTTCCTCATCATTAAACTTTTTCTGTTTCATTCTAAATATTTTATGGAATGCTTATCTATACTGTATTTTAAGAATAACACAGTAGTGTAAGCCTTTGGTAAAACAAAATTTATGCTTTTGGTGTGCTACTAGGTAAACCTCAACTAAAAAACTATGGTTAAAATCTTTGAATTTATTAAAAACTTAACATATAATTTATAAATGGTGGAATGTATTGTCAGACTCAAATGTGTTTTGATTTGAAAATCTTACTTGAAGTTTTGAATGGAACCACCATTGTCTGTGAATGAAAAATATTTGAACTTGAACTAAAAGCTACCTTGTAGTGTTCAGATGTAAGTATTTATATCCCTTGCACATGTTTACCAGTGTTTCAATTATTTTGTTATAACAAGCATTTGGTATAACGACTAAAGTAATAATTCTTTTTTATACTTAAAAATGAATGATTTCAAGCAACTCAGATATAAATTTAAAATTATTTAAAAAGACAATTTTTATGTAGACGAGTTTATCTGACAGAGTTGGCTATCAATTGAGATTTCAGCCATATAAAGCATTTTTTAATGCATTAGAACTAAACCTAACATTCAGGTGTAATCGAATGTAGAAATGTATACTAAAAGAAAGACATTTTGCTGCTGGAATGTTATACTTAGAAGTGTGATCAAGAATCAGTGAGTTGTGTGTTTTTTTTTACAATGGCTGCTTTGTAGCAGAGGATGAGCTAGCTGAAAGTAAGTACATCCTCTTCTAAAAACTTTGAATATATTAATTATAATGAGGTTTAAGAAATTCTGATAGTATGTTGAATAATTATTTGTTCTTAATCATATAGCCGATTTTCAGAGAAAGTTAGTGAAGCACCTAAATTTTGCACTCTTTAAAATCTTTGTAACAACTGTTAAAATGTATACACACATATATGTATCCGAACAAGTTCAAATATTTGTAGAATAATTTCATGTTTAAAGAAACTTGTCAGATTTATCATGGTATCAAATGTTCATTGTATGTTTACAGGCATACATCAAAAGGTTCTTTATATGGGTGCTTATAAAGCATAATTACTATAGCAACTAACAAATTCTCTCATTCTCAGTAAAGTCTGAAGTTTTAATAGAATATTTTTAAGAATATCAACTACTGAGTAGAATACTAAAAGATGTTTTTTTTCTAACATTTTGAGCTCTTTGTACTTTATTTATTTATTTAAATAAAATAAGATCTATAAATATATGGTTTGTATGACATCACATTAAGATGGATAATAATTCAGAACAAATTTTTCTTTACTGGCTTTATATAGGTTTCCAACATGAAATATACAATAGCATTTTGACCACACATAAATTTGTTTAATAAATAAATTCTGTCATTATAGAAGATTATGAAATTAGTCAACTAAGGAAACGACTAGAAGAAACAGAGGCAGCAATGGAACGAATTATGAAACACATGGGAGTTGTCACTGAGCATCTGGCTGTGGGCATGACTTGTTTACCAAACTCGCCAGTCAGTACTTCCACACAGGTAGCTGAAAATTAAGCTTTGTATATACACTACAGACTCATTTAACTCAAGATTTTATGTTACAAGTAAAGAAATGCAGAGATGTCAAATGCTAAATCAAAACATTTATTAATTCTAATTCAAACATTACATAAACAAAATAACTTAATTCTGTCTGTACAAAATACCCACAATGTTTGTAATAGATTAATTAGAACAACATACTGGTTAGCATGTTTCCTACCTCTCCCTTTGTATAAGTGTTGTTGACAAGCATCCAACTATCATCTCATAAATACATGTTGTACTTAACCAAATGTTTATGTCATGTTTCTAGTACATACTTAATCTAATTTTAAACATCACATTGAATTGTAGTAACTAATAATCAGTAATTACCTGTGTTACTGAGCTGTTATTATTTGTTGAGTGTTGTTGGCTTGAGATTGGTGTCTAATGGTGTGTTGTTGGCTTGATATTGGTGATTTGTGGTGTGTATATGTTGTAAACTTAGGTTGCTGGATAATTTTTGTTGTAAACTTTTCTAACGATTGTGTTTAGTCTAACCGAGTTATTATGTAAATAATACTTTGTTCTAGTGAGTGGATTTTATGTATATTACTGTCCATATGATGTTTTATTCCTGGCAGTTTAATGTAGTATAACTATTCTTCCAAAACATGCATACCTCTGCTGACACTTATAGCTATTTCTCGATCCTCATCTAAACATCGTGTTCACTTGCACCAATCTTTATACCCCACTCGACTGCCCTTGGCAATATCTAATTTGCACCAGCCCTCACACGCCCTCTATGTAGATACTGTATATAAGCACTTTATGTCGACAATATAATCACTTTTTCTCGACAAAGAGCACTAGGAATTATGTTTTGTGGTTAAAATTTTTTTTAAGCATTTTGACAGTAGTCTGGTTTTTGTTTTCCCCCATTGCCGATATTTCATTGGTTTTCTTTTGCGGTTCAAGAACAACAAATAAATATGGGAATTCATACCCATATAACAGTTTTTGGCACGGGGTTTAACCAGACCTCAACCATTCCTCATTTGTTGTCTGGTGGTGGTCGGGGGATCCACTTTCAGTGGAAGCTGTCCGTGACCTGATTTGGGATGAGTTGTAGTTCTTCATGCATCCCGAGGATTCAGAGTTGGCTTTTCATCATGAACATGAATAAACTGGGGAGAATTTAGACACTGTTTTCTGCTATTTCTTTCACTAGAGCTGCCTCTAGTGCAGGCTCATCTGATCGGCCACCTTCTGCCTTTTTTCTGCAGTTAGTTACACGAGTTTGTGAAGCTTTGGGGATTCATCCCCTTGTTTTTAAGGCTGCCTTGCCTTGTTGGGAGATAGATCTCGGGGGGGGGGGGAGTACTTATTCCATTCTCCTTCCTCTGATATTGCCATGTATGCTGGGATGTTTGCAATGCAATTACAAGAGAGTATTGCTATGCCTTGCTCCCATCTTTTATCAGAACAACATGCCCTGGCTGTAGTATATTTGGACACTCAACAGTTGGATCTATGGGGTTCCAGGTTAGAACCTGTTATCTCTCTTACCAGATCTCCATTTTCCCGGATTCGTTTCACTCCTACTACTCTTACAGATACACCTCTTTGTGATTTCCGGGAATCGCCTCATTTTTGGCCTTGCTAGTTTGCTGGAGTTCCTAAACCTTTCGAGGCCCAATTTTATATGGCACGTTTTCTTTATCGTCATTGGCAGCCTGCATCTCTTCTTCCATGGGCAATTCTGGAGGATCATCTCGTGGCTCCTACCTTCGACACCTCATCCTATTGGTTTACAGAATCAGTTCCATCCGTGTTCTTTGGAAGGTTGGGAGGGCGCCAGTGGAGTCGTTATCTACTCATTCACAAGGTCGATCCCATTCATCCAGGATTCTATTCTCGTCCTTTTCTGTTGACCAAGAGCACTAGAGATTGGCTTCGTATCATCAATCTGTCTCAACTCAATCTCTTCGTACAGCCTCCTCGTTTCATCATGGAATCTTTTCTTCAACTTCAATGGCACTTCACACTTGATTTTTGGATGACGAAGTTTGATGTTACAGATGCCTCCCTTGATATCCCCATAGCAGAGTCTTTTCATCAATTTCTACATTTTTTGCACGAGGACCAGATATAGCAGTTCCAAGCTCTCCCATTTGGACTTGCTTCAGCACCATATGCTGAGTAGTGTTAGTGACCGGGATTGGGTAAATCTAAAAACTGTGATTATATTGTATATATACAGTGATTATATACCGTACCTGCATAGAGGGCGTGTGAGGACCTGTGTAAAGTTTTGCAAATTAGATATTGCCAAGGGCAGTCGAGTGGGGTATAAAGACTGGAGCAAGCGAACACGATGTTTAGATGGAAAAATAGCTATAAGTGTCAGCAGAGGTAAACGTGTTTTGAAATACATTTTCAAATTATGAAAATGATAACTTATTTATCACTTTGTTTTTGTTCTTCTAATGATTCTTTTTTCTTGGTCATTGAACTTAATTGAAATATGTTATTTAGATTAATGGTAGGCCTGAAATTTGTGTAACAGTCATGTTAATTGTAGATGTTTTTTCCCATATTCCTCTCAGAATCTTCAGCCCAATTGATGAGTTCTGGTACTGAAAGAAAGGCCTCTTGGGCAGTAACTTGTGGGAGAGAAAAGATAGATTTGAAATGTTGTTTTTAAATATCTGATTTTAAATCCACAATGAGCAAATTAAGAAGAATGTGAAAAAAAGTCTACAATTAACATGATTATCACAAATTTTAAACCTATTGGTTTTAATGCTTCATCAGCTTTTGGAATTTCAAACCATAATTTTTTTATAGTTTGGTTTTAATGTAACTCTATTCCTGTTTATTTTTAGGACTCAGAAAACAAAGATATTCTCTTGGATGGTACAGAGAAAAAGGTGAGATTTTTTACAAATAACACTGGAATTGTATGCTTATAAAACATATTTATAAGCTTGAAGACAAATGTACATAAAAATATTTCAAGAAGATCAAAAAGTAAATTCATACTATGGAGATGCAGTGTGTTTTGTTAACTGTAAAAGTCATTTGAAATACAAAGTTACATTCAGTGTTGGAGCCCTGCCAAATCTGTCAAATGTATGACATCACCATCAAGGTAGATATTGCACATTAAAAACATAATCTCTAATTCTGTGAGTTCTTTTTGGATTAAAAAATATACGAAGCACTAATTATTTGAAAATACTTTGTAATAACTTGAATATGCATATATTACTGAGAACAAACACACAACTCAACTGCCTTTAAATTAAGTAGCAAAAGAAAAAACAACAACAACAAAGGTTCCATATATACTTTTGATTCCTTCAATTTCAGTTTTAGCAAGAACAGTATTAACAATGTTTATAATGCTTTGCACACCTTCTTTCCTGCCAATCAAATATCTAAGAACCGCAACCTTCATTGAATATTGTGTAAAGCCTTTTAAAAATGTGTACATTTTAAACACACACTATTATTGTAAAATATCATCATTCATGTGTTAACCACATACTGTATGACAGAAAAACTTTCACATTTTAATGCTCTAACAACTGTTCTTGAGTTGGAGTGGTCGCATAGTTCCCGATGCTATCTCCTAAGGAAGAGTGATAGAATATGTGCTGAGAGGTCCAAGAGAGCTCTTCCAATGATCACAAATGACCAGAGTTTTCTCTGATACTCTGAGTGTTTTGTTATGAAAGACACTTAATTTTGGGTGTAAGTTGAATAAAACTTTTTATACATATTTTTAGTTTTGAAGTGTTGGGACCCAGTTCCAATTTTAGGTGCCAAAGTTGTTGATTTTTGAGAAGTTTGTTTATATTTTATTATTAATATTTTTTGTCTATATAAGGCTTTTATCTTACATGTAACATATAGACAATATTTTAATTTCAATTACTTGACTTTTCAAGTTTAACACTTTGTAAGATTTTTTTGTGTCTTACATTACCTAATGTGTTACAATAATAACTATTTTTCTTCTAATGAATTACACTATCTTTCCTCAGTAGGTAGAGTACATCTTGTTTTATTGAGAGTTTTGACTGTTAACAGAAAAAGGTCACCTTGACTGAATCAGATAAAGAAGAAGAAAACCAGCCCTCCAGCCCTGATGTTGACAACTATGAACTGGTTTCAGAGATTGGCTCTATTCCTACAACACCAACAAATGTTTCAGTAAGTGCAGAAAAAGAATCATGTGAGACTACTAGCTTTGAAGTGATTGGGCAAATCATTGAGAACAATGACACTCGAATTGACTCAGAAGACAGTATAAGCAAAGAGTTAGACACTGAACAAGTTGATCAACCCAAGGATGACTATACAGATCATTTACTCCTAAAGAATGGTAGTTTTGAAGATCTTGCCATAACATCTAGTGATCATCTTTTTCCAGAAAATCTTTCATCATCTATTGAAAGTAAAGGTTTTTCTGGCACTTCTTCAATGAGCACTTTACCTGAAATCACCAGAGAAAATGTAAATGGCGAGGACATTGAAGAAGATAAAAGTAAACATGTTTTGTCTTTCTCAAAGAGTACTGAAACTGACTCTGATCAACAAATGAAAGTTAAAAACAGAGCATGTAGCTTAAGGTCAGGAAAACCAAAAACTTTCTTGGAACAACATGCAGATGATAAGAACATGTCAGAAGAAGTGAGTCTTCCTAGAAGTACCTTATCAAGATGTGTTGCCATTGACAAGTCATCTGAATACTGTGGTTTGGAAGAGGACACAGCGCCAATGATTAAACACACAGAACCAAAAGAAACTTTTCAGAGTAATGCAGACAAGAGAAGCAAAGAGTAAAGCATGAAGAAAGAGATGATCATTGAACCTTTTGAAATAGACAAGGAATTGGAACTTACAAAACTATAAAAAAATCTTGGTACCCACTAAAGATATCTTTAAATAATTGTATGTATGTTTAATTTCTCTACCATGAATAACAGTTAGAAGTAGAAATCAGGTCACAACCACTTAAATAGGAGCTCAACTGCCCACACAGTTGGTGAAGAAACATTGGCAAGCATTATATTTGCTGAATCATCTAACTTGCTATATATATCTTTGCTATACTTTTACATTAGACATTTAGTGAAAGTTTCATTAAGTTAAAAAGTTTAGAAAAATCGAATTCAAATAAAAACCTGAATTTAAACTTGTTAAGGAGTTGGTTCAAGTCTATATTGCCTGTTCAGTATTAGAAGTATGTGTGATAAATAATTTCCCCTTATATAAAAATAGAAATGTTCCATCAAAAATAGTAGCTCATGAACATTTTTGAACAGTTAGATAGAATGAGTAATTTTTAGTAGAAACCTGGTGTACAAATTTTCAACCATTATGAAGTTGTTAAAGTCCTTTTGGAAAATACTTAAAATTCATTGTAATGTTAATTGCTATATTTTCAAGATAATTAATATATAGTGTTACTTCAAAATTATTATGATGTTAGGTAATATGTTGTCATTATAACAAACATTTAATAATACTTTATTTGTATGCTTTATGATGCATGTTCTCTTTCTTTAACTTAGAATTGATTAGTGTTTAAAGAAATATTATTACTAGAAGAACACTGAGGAGGTTACTGGAGGGAAGAGAGCTTGTGCTAAGGCTGGTGCCAAACTTTACAAGTGTGTAATAGCAGTAGAAGTAATGATAAATGATACCCAATAATTAATTATAATAAACTAACAACTAAAAGTAGCTGCTGCTGGCTAGTTGGTAGTTCAGAATTAAGGTTGTCACTGTGATACTTGAACTGCATGCTGAAAAACGTGTTAGGACAGGACTTCGATACTGAAGGGAGGAGAGCCTATGGCCAATGCTAAACTACTCGTACAAATATATAATAAATACTTAGAAATATATAATTATTTCTTTTTTTCTATTGTTTTTTTGTAAATTTTCTTATAGTTTCTCAAGTTAGTTTATGGTTTTGGAATGAACAGTAACATTTGTCATGGATATATCAATACTTGATAGAATGCCAGACTGTGCAATCCAGTCTGCACTTTGTGGTTGTTGGTGCTTTGTAAGAGTAATTATAAAACCCCACTATTCCATTAATATAGTCTAGGAATTGAATGTGGGTGCTATTGACTAGTTACCTTCTCTCTAATCTATCAGTTCAAAATTAGGAGCAGCCAGTGTTAACCTTATTTCAATTTTTAAAACAGTTATCTAACCAAATATCCTTCTTTCTAAAGGACAAAGGTATTTTAAACTAAACTATTAATTCAGAATAATATTGGAATTATAAGAGAAAAAATGCAAGTTTAATATCACTGTGGGGAGTTGGGAACTTTATGGACAATAGAAACCTAGTGTAGATGTCGATCTTGAATCTGCCCTATCTAACACGAATCCTCATTAACTCTTGCAATGGGTGCCACTTTAAATGCTTTTCTGCACAAGTCACTATGTTACATTCAAAATGTAATTAAACACATTTATTATCAATGTATGTGAATAAAATTAATATTATAATTCAAAGTTTTATGTTATCTAAGTTTTAAGTCCTTTATTTCAAAATAAACCTTTAAAAAACTGCTTAAAACTTTAGATATATTGTTCAGGTGACTAATGAACTGTGAAAATTCTCTATTTTGCTCTGTCTATCTTCAATAATACAATAGTAGTTGATTAGAGGTACGTCTAGACAATAAGATGATTACATGATCTTTTGACTTGTTCATACAGAATCCTCAGTGTTTTATTAACTGTGGCATAGCAGTTCATAGAACGGCTCTGAGTTGTTGTTTTTTTAATTACAGAATTTTAGCTCATAGTTCTGTTGTCTCCTAACCAATGTGAGATCTAATTATAGTTTTGTACTCAGGATGTCAAACCCTTTTGATTGATGTATTTGACCAGGCCCAAGGTCTCATAGATTAATATACTCCAATCCTGCCTAAAAGAATTTCAATTTGAGGGTAAGCTGGTAGAGACCCTGATGAGTAATAAAATCTAGTCAGGCATATGTGCACCCCGCACTTGTTGGCACACAAAAATAAAGCTAATAAAAAGGGAAAAAAAAAGGTCTCATGGATTAATTTACTCTAAACCTGCCTAAAAGAATTTCAAGTGCCCCAGTTATTGAGGATTCCATCTTGTTTATATAAGAAATTATTTAATACAAACTGCATCCAAAAATCGGTTTTCACTGCATGACAGTAATGTTGTACAGTACCCATACTTTTACAGGGTCATTTTAGTCTGAGAAATGGTTTTACAAAAAATCACTACCTTGAATGATCTCTTAATTTGCATACAAATATCATTTATTATAATATAAATATTGTATAGAATTTTAATTAATGCAACATAAAAAAAGAAGTATACTGCGTAATTTATACATCATTAATTATCATGTTTTACAAAATGTGTAGATCTTTTAGTGTGTATTAAATTTTTGTAAATATTGATAACAACACAAGAAGTGTAAATAATTAGAATTAATATCAACAGGTATGTGTTTTATACAGATATTTTCAGGACCTGTTTACCTAAGTGTCAATAACAGAACAAAATAATTAACTGTTTCCTTTTATTTGATAGTTAATTTAAATCATTGAATGATAATAACATGTTTAGTTACTCTTGTTTTATAACCATATTGCATTGAATGATAATAACATATTTAGTTACTTATGTTTTATAACCATATTGCATTGAATGATAATAACATGTTTAGTTACTCTTGTTTTATAACCATATTGCATTGAATGATAATAACATGTTTAGTTACTTATGTTTTATAACCATATTGCATTGAATGATAATAACATGTTTAGTTGCTCTTGTTTTATAACCATATTGCAATGCAACTGATTTTATTTATTTAACAGAAATATTTTTTTACTGAGTAATTGTATATTTTAGTTGTTTTTTTATTTGATTTCTTACAGTTCCTAATTGCTATATATAGATACACAAACAGACGTTTGATGTACTGTATAAACCCTGTTAGTTTGAATTGTATATTTTTAGTAGTATTAAAATGGAATTTTTTCCTTTTAAGTGTTTCAATTTCCTTATGTAATTGAATATGGGTTCCATGTGACCTATTGTTTTAAAGGTTTATTTTGTTTATTGGTTTTACATTTTACTCTATAGTGTTCATGCTTTTATTTTGTGGTTGTCCATAGTTCATACCATGTTGCTACAAAATTGCACTTTGCATTTTGGGGCTGTGGGTTTAAAGTAAGTGTGATGCTCAAATTCCACTCTTTGAACAAGATGTTTCAGGTTCCTAGTATCCTTTATTTCTGGTCAAGTAGTTTTAGAGTTGGCAGTGAGTGTTGTTGAACAGTTATTTTCCCTCTAGTGTGTCAGTTCAAAAGTAGGGACGTCTAGTATGGATAGGCCTTGTGTAGCTTTTCATGAATACCTGAAATAAATAAACCTTTTTTTTTATTGAGTCATTTTTTAGATTTCTTGACTTGCTTAGCATTTTAAGACATCTCTTGCTCATGAAATTATTTCAGTTTTTGCTGTTCTTATACAAGTCTGTTATTTTTCTTTTCAAACTGTTTGACATTTCATAGTTTAACTTGTTTTGTGCAATGTGTTTTTGTTTTGTTTTTTAGATTTCTTGGTGTTTTTGTCCATTAAGTACTTATTTTCTTCCTTTTAATTAGTGCTTTTTCAGATTTTATGATGTTTTTTAGAGTAAATCTGTTTTTTTCTCTTGAGCTTTCTCAGGGCTTAATTTGTGTTCTTGTATAATAAGTGTTCTTTTCATGGTTAGGCTCTTTCACATTCTCGGTGTTCTTTATAATACATGATGTTCTTTTCATGTTTGAGCTATCTCAAGTTACTTGGTGTTCTTGTATAACAAGTGTTCTTTTCATGGTTAGATCTATCAGATTTCTTGATGTTCTTCTACAGTAAGGCTGTTATTTATGTAATCTGTGTTTTTAAACATATCATGATGTAACTTGTATTGTGTAACATCTTTTTTCTCTAGTCGAAGTGTGTCAAATTTCTTGATGTTCTAGTCCATTAAAATTAATTTTCCTGGTTAAAGTATTTCACATTTCTTGGTGTTCTTAGATGTTCATTCTGTATTTTCCTAAACGAACTGTGTCAGATTTATTGTTGTTCTTATACAATAAAACTGACCATTTTCTGAACAAGGTGTTTCAGTTTCTTAGTATCCTTTATTCTAAGGTAGTCCTTTTTCTGCTCAAGCAGTTTTAGAAATCGAAATGTTATGGTTTATTGTGTTTTTTCTGATAATTACAGTTTTATATTTATTCTTATTACTAAACTAATTGATATGTAAGGATAGTTCCTTATGGCATGAAAATAGTTTTATTTATATATGTTTAGAATGCCTTATTTAAGTTTTAATCTATTTCAATAATAGTAATTTCTTTGTATATCTACTTAATTATTTAATAAACTTCAGTATTAGTATTGTCACTGAATTGGTGTTTTGTGCTACTGTAAAACATTTTACTTCTTTGAAATCATTACTTGACATAGAACATTAATGATATCACTAAAATTGTAGCTATCACCAATGATCTAAAATAAATCTCCAGTAACAAATAACTCCAGTGTACTTTTGGATGATCAAGATTTGTTGTTTTGTTTTTTGTTTTTTTACATATATGAGTAATGCTCTGAAATCAAAGGCTTGGTGCATTAAACTTCATCTGATTTGTTTTTGTGGTTTAGAATATACTGCATGTGGGCTCAAATGCTTTTCAAGTTCAGTTTACCTGCATTTTATAAAACAAAGAGAATATCTAAAAATATATAAGTTTGAAAGACAGGATTTAAGCAATATTCCACATCTTAAACAGTTGATAGATTGAAACAAGATTGAACAAGATGACTGCATCAATTCTGAGCTTGTTAAGAAGAAATTCAAAAGTTTAAAAATCAATAAGGCTTCTGGGCCAAATAATATTTCCCCAAGGGTTTTGAAGGATGTTAAGTATTTGGATATGTGAGTCACTTGTTACTATTTTTTGTAAGTCCTTGAATAGTGAATTACTGCTTATGTAGATGAGGGTAAGTGTGTATAGTTGGTATATCTGGATTTTCAGAAAGCATTTGACAAGGTGCCACATAAAAGGTATATAACAATATCCAGTCATGTGACCTCTTTGTTCCATACTGTATATATATCTGTGTCAGTGTAAACTCCTTGTACCTGATGATGACAAAATCTTGTCAAAACATTGTACATTTGCTATTATGTTTTTTTCATTACCAATTCAAGCCATCTCCAAGCATTATTTATCGACTTGTTTGCACACAGTAGGGATTGTTCTCTGTAGGCTAGTCTAGCATAAGTACAAATAAGCCTGTAGATATAGAGCTTGACTACCTGGTTTTTCATTTCTCATACTCTGCTCATAGAGAAACTTTTAGGAGCAGAGGATTGCCGTAAATGGACTTGTTACAGGTTTTACCCACACTTTTTACTGAGTTTTTCTGACCTGTAGGAGTTTGTTCAACCCAGCATATTGAATCCTGAAGATAAAATTCTTAGCCTTTCTGGCTATGTTATTATCAAGTAACCAGTTTATGATTCAATTAGTGTTGAAAATCACACCCTAAGGCAAACAGACCTGCATCATGCAGTAGTTGAGAGATATCTATAGTTTCAGCCACTTCCAATTAGGGACCTGATGTCCCACAGAAATATTAGTACAGTGTTAGCAACCCCAGGCTGTGACCATGATGAACTACAGGACGTGTCTCGGACTGATGTCCAAGTTATCAAAGTGTTCCTTTAGTGTGGTTTACCATGAGGTAAGTGAAGCACCACAATATGGTTATACAGAAGTAACTTTTCTACTGAGCTGATGAAAAGAAAGACAAAATAATGTGAATCGCACCCTAACAGTTGTTCATGAAACGTGCTGATAAATATAGTGTTTAGAACTGGTTTGTCTGTCATATCCCGATCAGCTTGATAAGCTCTGGTATCAGGCAAAAGGCCTTGTTGGCACAGGACATGGAAGATGTAGTGAGGTTGACGTATTCTCCTTTCCTTTCACTCGCCGGTTCTTAAATATGTAACTTTTTTCTTTGTAGTAGTGTTTAGTGTTGTTTGACAAGTGGCTTTACTGGAGTAAGGATACGTTATAACTTTTCTTAATAGACATATTATTAAAGTTTGATTTATTTCTTTGATAGTTTTAGAATTAGGGACAGTCTAGAAGAAAGGGGATAAGGAAATGTAGTATAGGATGGGTACCATATGTTTTCTACTCCCTTAGTTAATGCCTGGCATGGCCAAGTGGTTAGGGTGCTTGACTCACAATCTGTGGGTAGTGGTTTCGAATCCCCGTTACACCAAACATGCTCGCCCTTTCAGCCGTGGAGGCATTATAATGTGATGGTCAACTATTCGTTGGTAAAAGAATAGCCCAAGAGTTGGCGGTGGGTGGTGATGACTAGCTGCCTTCCCTCTAGTCTTACACTGCAAAATTAGGGATAGCTTTGC